CCCCCCCCCCCACCCCCCCAACATCCCCTCTCTCTCTCTCTCTCGTACCTTCCTTGATCTTTCTGTCCTTTTGACAAAGTCGGAATGACGAAACGCGTCAAGGGCGGAGTTCACCGACTCTGTCCTCTTTGATCAAGCTAGCGGCATACATCGCACCTGTGACCGGCTGGTGAGTTTTTACTATTTTTAAAATAGAATTTCCTTGATTTACTGCACATTGAGCGATTGCATTTCCTTCCTGACATATGTGGAGATGATGATAGGATCATGCTAGACATTGAGAAGGGAGAATTGGAAGATTGCAGCACCCGCAGTGAGAGTTCAGGCTTCTGTGAAAACGCGTGCTGGCTGTCTTTTACCGTCAGCAGTTCTGGTGAGTGTAATACCTGGGGCTTCGGTTCACACTGGAAGGATCACATCCACAGCACAGGATTGTCTTTTGTGCATGGTGTGTGGACACACGAGAAGCAGTTCTATGGACAACCTATTATTGCTTTATGGACCTGTTAGTTACATTGTATGCACAAGCACTTTATACTGAAAGGTTGTCACATACTTGGATACATATAATATTATATATATATGTATATACTGTATATACACACATCTAAAGGCAGTCCCCGGGTTACGGACATTCGACTAACGGATACTGAAAAATGGCCTGGCCAGGAAGGGGGTCTAAACACCTGGTCTTGAAGTGGTTAAATAAAAAAAATATTTGTATTATATTATAATCTTCTGAACAACAGGAACAGACAGCAAAACAAATGTGACCCTTCCCTATGCTATCCAAAACTAAAACATGTTTTTTTGGCTGGAGTTACACTTAAAAAATGTACCTGTTCTGGACATTTGTGAATGAAAGCCTGCGTGTGTGTGTGGCCGTGCAGGTAAATATGTAACCAGGTGATCCCGGTAGAAGATGGCTGCGGGTAGACGTGCATGTTGAGAGCACGCTGAGAGCTCCTGCGTCCAACCCAGGAGAGTGCTAGTCAGCGTGATGAGAGACGGAGGAGGATCAGCTCTGACAGCCCTGCAAAGCTCCAACTAATAAAGAACGAAAAACGAAACTGAAACTAAACTGATACGAGAGGCAGGAGACTCGGCAACGGAGGTGGTGGGGGCAAGGGAGGAAGAGGAGACCGGCTGCCAGATGTAATCCACATTAACCCATTACAACCTATTGCTGTGGACTATTGGACATTTACAGTAATCAGAATGAGAGGAAGGTAAATTGAGGGTTAGGTGGTGTGGATAACTGAGCAGCGTACCCCCCCCCCCCCCCCCACCATTCAGATGGGTCGTAACACAAAAAAGAGTCCTAGAACCCCCAGCGCCAGAATACCGGCGAGAGGTGGACGGGACATAGAAGGTTTTTTTGTGAAAGATACTGAGTCTGCTGAAACGGAGTTTAACCCTGAAAGGGGGCAGAGGGGAACGGTTAGAGACTCACAGGGGGGTTCCCTTCCAGTCTCCCCTGTGGAATCAGATCGCTCAGAGAGAATGAGTGGAGTTGGGGAACTGTCTGAAGGGACTGAGGTGGAAGGAGGAGAAATACAGATCTCGCAGGGACTAAATGAACGCTTGGTGGAGTTGCCAACAAAAAAAGGACATTGAGATGATGTTTAGTAAAGCGGGAAAGGAAAATAAGGAGGTTATGCAGGAATTGCAAGAAACTATGCAGGAGTTTAATAGTCGAATGGAGGGGATGGAGTCCTCAGTGGGTCAGTGTTTTGCAATAATACCAGAAATGCTACAACAGCAACATGATACTATGCAGTTACTACGTTCACAGATGGTTGACCTGGAAGACCGCAGTAATATCCGCATAAGAGGAATACCAGAGGTTGATGAGGGGGAAAAACTGAGGACGGTGGTCCAGGAAATATTGAACAAACTGTTGGGGAAATTGGAATTTAAAGATATGGAGATAGACAGGTTGCATAGGATTCCAGGTATCTGTAAGTTGAATGCTACCTACCCAAGAGATGTGCTGTGTAGGATACATTTCTACAGTTTGAAGGAGAAAGTAATGCTTAAAGCGCAGAAGTACGGGAGACTGGACTATGAAGGAGCCAAAATAGAAAATGTCCCTGACCTCTCCAAGCGTACATTAGACAAACGAAGGGCCCTGAGACCTTTGACCAAAGTCCTAAGGGAAAAAAAATATAAAATATAGATGGGGTTTCCCATTTTGCTTATTGGTACAAAAGGACGTTAAAATTGTTGAGTTTCGCACCCCGGCGGATTTAGATACGTTTGTAAAAAGATTGGATATCGAGATGAAGTGTTGGGACAATGGCCTGATCCACCAATAGGGTAATTTGGTAGTTTAGAGACACAAAATATTTGCACTATGGACTATGATGTGGGGCGATAAATTAAAATTGGTGCAGTTGTTAAATGGTATACTGGGGGGATTCATGTTTGAGGGTAAGGTTTACACAAGGTTTGAGCATATAAGAGGAAATTGTTAATAGAATGATAAGAAGGCAAGGTGGATTCAGGGTTTGTGAGGGATGTTTTTTGTGCATTAGAGAGAATTTAAATATGGGAGAAACGTCCCAATGGGTGTGAGAAATATAGTTTTGGGATGAATATTTGTGTGATTTCAATAATGATGGTGATATTGACAATAATAATAATAATACTATTAATAATAACAATTGATGTTTGATATGGGGGTGGGGATTAAAAACTGAGTAGTGCACTGAAGAACACATAGAAAGACACAATAAGGGGAAGTATTAGCGGCATCAGTAAGGAGGGGGGTAGTATGAGGGTTTATTTAATTTTTTGTTGTTTTTTTTTTTTTGCATCTCTCTCTCCCTTTCTCTCTCCCAATATCTTCCCTTTTTCTCTCTCTCTCTCTCTTCCTTTATCTTCTTCTTTCTTACCCTCTTTTGTATTTTTTATATACTAATTGCCAGCTTTCTCTCCTGGGTCTTTGGAAAGGCCATCACATATCCCCTCTATAGGCAATGAGCCCCAGCGGGCACCCTCCTAGGGGGGACGCTGAGGTACAAGGGTCGGGGATTTTTCTGATAAGCCTAAAGGGGATAACTGTTTGTTAGTGCAGGGTGAGGGTCCACTCACACTTGGAATCCTATATTGCTATTAATGCCACTCCTAATATGTCCCCTACTACTGTATGGGCAGCCCATGAGGTGACAATTCAAGGCTGATTAATTGAACTGGCTACCAGAATAAAAGATGAGTGCAACCAGATGCATAAATGAACTGTACACGGAACATCAATGTTTATCTCGGGCTCATAAGCAGACTCCGTCATTAGATCTCTTGAAATCCCTGGATAAAACTAGATTAGAATTGAACTTGTTACTAACTACTAAAGCGGAAAAATGTCTTCCATGGTCAGATAACAAATATTATGTCCATAAAGACAAAATTGGTACCCTTTTAGCTACTAAACTATCCCCTAAACCTAGAGTTTATACGTTCCCTAAAATTCGATGTACCTCTGGCGCATACTCATTACATCCAACAACTGTTCTTCAGGAGTTCCACTTGTTTTTCACTAAGCTCTATCAGAATAATAATCCTGTTCCATCCGATTCATTGAGATCATTTCTCAGTGAGGTTCACCTTCCATCCTCGTCACTTGACCGTTCCATGATTATAGAAGCACCCATTTTGGCACAGGAAATTAAACAGGCTATCAAGCAGGCAACATTGTAATCTGCTCCAGGTCCGGATGGACTGCCTGCCTCATATTATAAGAAGTTTTCGGATGTTTTGGTGTCTCACTTGGAGAGGTTCTTTAATGAAGTGAGACGGGGGAGTCCCTTAAACACAGATTTAAATAGGGCGTATCTTACAGTTCTTACTAAATCAAACAAGGACTTGGGGGAAATCTCCAACTATAGACCGATCTCCTTGATAAACAATGATTTAAAACTCCTAACTAAACTTCTTGCTAATTGATTGAGCTCCTTCCTACCCTCCTATATTCATAAGGATCAAGTGGGCTTTATTAGGGGTAGGCAAGCCCCCGATCAAATTAGAAGGGCCATTGACATTATCACTTTGTTGCAGTCAGGGTGGGATGGTGGGCAATCACAATCTGGGCTTCTGCTGTCCATTGACTTACAAAAAGCCTTTGATTCAGTGTCTTGTCAATACCTTTTCCAGCTGCTTGAGAGATGGGGTTTTGGTCCCCTCTTTCTGAGCACGTTGCGGGCCTTATATACCACCCCGTCAGTACAAATTAGGCTACAGGGCCACATCTCTGATTCCATAGCTATCTCTAAAGGCACACGTCAAGGTTGTCCACTTTCCCCGCTGCTTTTTGCATTGACGATAGAACCCCTAGCGATTGCGATCCGTGCTAATGTTAATATTAAGGGAATGGGCTGTGGTAGGGGGCATAAGTGTGCTTTATTTGCGGATGACTTGCTCTTGTTTGCCACTTCACCCTTGACCACACTTCCTAATGTCCTGTCATTGTTGACTCAATTTGCTGGGGTATCTGGATTGCGGGTCAATGCATCCAAATCATTGGCTCTTAATATCAATATGCCCCAGGAATTGTGGTCTCGGTTGTCAGAACATTTTGATTTTACCTGGTCCACGGAGGCTTTGCAATATCCAGGGATGCCTTTTCCTGGGTGCCTTTTCATGTGAGTATTTTGCGGTCCCCTGTGGTTCCCCAGCGTTGTTAATGTTTAAAATGTAATTTATGGTATTGTTGCTTCATTGCAGGCCTTTTCTGCCTGTTATTCAGTAATCTTTTTCATGGTCCTATGTATACAGAATTATGTTAGTGACAAGAACCTGTGGTGCTATAACCCTGAGCACATGAGTATGTGGCTTCCAGGTTTCAGCATGGCTGTTAGTGTCTAGCAGGTTCTGACAGGTGCTGTTAATCACATAATTCTATTCAGTTTATCTGTGATAGTAAAGGTTGGATCATGTGTTCAATTGGCATTAATCTCCTTCCCCAAGAGACCAGCTACATTCTAAAGGTGGCCATACACTTTACAACCCACGCAAGACTTTTGTCTTGCGAGGGTTGTAAAGTACCTAAAAAAATGTACGATCTGCCCATCTTGGACAGGCAGATCGTACTTGTGATCATCGCAAGCCCGCCCCCCTGAGGGGCGGGCTTACGATGACTGCAATGAGGGGCGGGCTTACGATGACTGCAAACGGGCTGTGTGCGCGTGCGCACACCGGCCCGTTTGGCAGTTGTCGAACCAGCAGGCCACTAACTCGCCGAGAAACGCCTTCCATACACTGCACGATTCTCGTACGATCGCAGGATTTCCCGCGATTCTCGTACGAGAATCGTGCAGTGTATGGGCACCTTTAGGGGAGGGTATGTAAGGTAGGTATGAAGATAAAAATAAAAAAAAGAGTGTGCAAATGTATGGACATAATGAATTGTCATCTTTTTCCGCCCTATGGACAGGACTGTTCCTCAGAGTGCATATGCAGGGGTTAATGGATTATAATCTCTCCAACCATTTGCCATCACTGCCTCCCATGGAATTCTGGATTATCACTATTTACCAGCACTACTCCCCAAAGACAGAGTAAGCTGCTCAATTTGGGATGAGAGGTCCTCTTCATTCTTTGATACAGCCGCTACACATGCAAGATCCTGCTATTAGAGTCCAGCTAGCGGGATGCATCACAAAGATTGTACAACCTTTAAAGGAGAACTATGAGGTGAGTGCTTTTCACTCACCTCATAGTTCTAGCCGACCTGTGACAATGAGACTGTCACAGGTTGGCTCAGTTGATTGGGAGGTGAGCGAACACATACCGGCGTTCGATCACCTCTCGATCCTGTCACGGCTCTCTGCCGTGACAGGGGAGTGGCTGGATTCCCCGCTCCGATCCGCCAGCGCTGACTGGCGGAACGGACGGGGGAGGGGGCGGCTACAGCTGGCTCTGCCTCTAGATAGGCAGAGCCAGCTGTCAGTCACGCAGCTGGGCGGATCTTGGAACAATTGTCGGGATCCGCTTCAGCTGCGGCGTCTCAGTATACTGCGGCGTCTCAGTATACCGTGAGCTACAGCTCGCGGTATACTGAGCCTAGGGTGACGGGAGGACGCTAGTTTGTGTCCTTCTGTTACCCTAAGGAGAACTATGGGGAAAAGCTTTAACTGCCATAGTTCTCCTTTAAGCAGTGCTTGGCCTGCAATCACCTGGCAGGATGCTGTACCAGGTCTCCCCTGCAGGGGCAGCAGTGAATGATGAGGCAGAGAAGTGGAGGTCTGAAGCCTTTAAACAGTGGTGATGTACTTTGTGAACTGTCAATTACTAGCCCAGTCAATCAGCTACATACACAAGTTCCCCTTTAGCCCTATGGCAGTCGGCTTCAGAATTTTACCCTGGCACACCCAAAGGCCTGTACTGGCTCTTGCTTGCCAGGGCAGTTCATGATTGGCCTAAAAACACAGAAGCAGACCTTTTGGCTAGCAATAAGGTCTCAGGGGCATGGTAGTTTCTGAATGAATTTACATCGGCAGTGACTTCATAGTTAGGCTGCTATGGATATGGTGCATTGCTCATCCAGGACTGCAATTACCTTGAGTTGGTACAGATCTCGCCACACACACACACCAATATCTAATGTCACAGGGACGGAAGAGTTCACAATCCTCCTTTCTTCATTTAAACGAACCAAAATTACTCCCTCACAAGGAAAACAAGTCCTTTTGGGGGTTAGTTGGTTATGTGTCCAGACGGAACACTGAGATCTTGAGGAATGCTGAATTGAGTTCTACTTGCTTAGGACATTACATGAATGGATGACATTGTGCAGAAAAGGAACTTTGTGTGTATCACAGGTAAGCATCCACACAAGGACCAGCATTCCACTACAGCGCCCTCCGCCCTCTACAGCTCAAAAGACATATCAGTACATTAGTTTATGCTGTTGCATTTCCAACACCTTTTGACCAACTTGCCCAGTGGGTCTCAGGTTGTAGAAGCTTACAAAGTTTGATCATATGCTGTTCGGAGTATATTCTCATGGGTCCTGTTAAGAGTTCAAGACGGACATGGTCAGGTTTATCTTCTCATCTCTCAGTCCATTCATCACCATCAAGATTCCTTGGTGCAAGCGAAGCTCTAGGTTATGTGTACACATATCCACATGCAAATGGTGACACTAGACATATTGGAGGCTAAGAGTCTTCCAACAGAGTTCTTCAGACGACGGAGAAAACGTTGCCTGTGGCATTGGTTCTGGATGATTCCAAATATGAAATTCTTGGTTGTGGCTGAAGCCGATGAGCCTATTTCAACTGTTCTCTATGTCCCTATCCAGGGATCATATTAATAAAGGATTCCTAAGTGCAAATCACTTCATCAGCCTTTTAGTCCAAGGTCAGTGACAGTCCATCAGGGGGAAAAATGTCTTCAGCATCTTGGAGTTCAGAGAGCCTTTCAGATCCATGGAACCTCCGTATTAGTTCAATGAATAACTGGATCATGGTTTTTTTCCCCATACATTTAGTGTCTGCTCATAGATGTGAGAACTGCTCGCTGCTGACGGAGGTACCTCTAATCAAGGATTCAGCGCCTAACTCCCCAGCATTTCCTGGCTGACACTACGAGCCATGAAGCCCTGGACAACAATTAATATTTTCTTATCCAGCAGTTTCCTGTGGATCAACAGCGAGTGGGTTATCCAGGTCTCATCCTGATGGTAATCCCTGAGAGCACAGAGTGCAGACGCTCCTTCTCAAGAGAACGTTCTAAGGGAGAGAATAGTGGATAGTTTAATATTTATATGTTTCCTTTAGTCTTAGGTTGCTAAATGGGACCCACCATTATCCAGGTCGGGACATGGCAATCATTTGCTTGTGGCCCATCTGTCCAGGGTTCCATCTCTTGTAGACTCCGACCCTGGAATCTTCTAGTCATCCGTAATATTCAGCAGGTGCTACATCCAAACATTTCCAAAACTGCCTTAAGTGGCTTGGAGGTTCGAAGTAAAGTCTCCCTTGCCTGAATTACTCATCTTCAGTCAACAAGTGTTTGTTGGATAATTGAGCACCTACTAAACATCACATACAGTATTCCACAGTGTGGAATACATTCATTGACTTTGCAAACTTAACACATTTCTTTTTTTTTTCTCTCTTCATGTCAGATATGTTAGACTTTCGTCAGACAAGCAATGTGTACTTGGGTGTCAGTATCCTCTATATTCATCCTCTGTGACACGATGGGCAGCTCACTAATTGATAAGCCAGCTCTTGAGGTCTTGCACAAGGATTCACTCTTCAGAAGAGTCTGTTCTTTCCCTTAGAATCTACAAATAATGTTGTATATGTTCTTCCTTCCTCGACTTCATCTAGCTCAAACTTACTCAGTATGGACAGTAACATATGGAATAGTTTTTCCTACAGAAATCTCCTCGGGGAGGAGGGTGTTGGATAGTCAAGATTAGGCTGCAAACCACCTTATTGCTACCATTTCTCAGACAGGATAATCCTACATATCTCTCCCAGCATCATCCAAAGGATGGAAGATCCTTACATCGATGTTGCTAGTATTCCAGAATCAAATTGTTTCTTTGTTTCAGCTCATGCCCAAAATGTGGCTGCTATGCAGGGGAAGAACATGGAGGTTATCTTCTTTTTCAGGTCGATCTCTTCATCTTTTTCTGGTGGTTTTAGAAAGTAGCAGTCTGCGTGCACTAGGTCACATACATTGTGCCTGGTCAAGCAGTTGGAGTCACAGATTACTCTCTGGGTTTGCTTATCCGAAGGATGTCATCCTTATGGATAGAATTTAGTGGTGTACCTCCAGAGTTATTCTGGAAGGCAGTAACTTGGTATACAAACCTGTCCCATTACAGGGTCCATCCAGGAGTCTGTCCATGGTGAAGTTGGTTCTGAATGTGGTACGAATAACAAATATCCTAGAAGTACCCTCCCTGGTGACATGATCGCTATATCCCATTGTATGCTGCCATGCAGGTGTCAGTAAAACGGAAAATGGTATACTTATCTGTAATTTTCCTTTCCTGACGCCATACATGGCAGCATACAGGACCCTCCCATGGCTTTCGCATTGAGTACTCTTTACGAGAATGGTGGCCGTGGGACGCGGGCTTCAATTTATAGTATAACTGGTCCTGTGATTGGGCTGGGGGTGGGACCACACCCATTGTGTGCTGCCATGTATGGCATCAGGAAAGGAAAATTACCGATAGGTAAGTATACAATTTTCCGTTATTGTGGAGAGTCTACCTTGCTGAGGGCTTAAAAGGGTTAATTTGGGAGGGCAGATACTTCCCCTACAGCCCTTCCTGTTAAAAAGGGAACAAGGTGAGAGAGGAGTTGGGAGCTGAGAGACACACAGAAAACTCTGTGTGTGTGTGGCTGCTCAGAAGCAAGTGGACTCTATCTTGGTGGGATCACCTACATGCACTACGCAGTGCAATTCTGTGGAAGGACTGTTACTTTATGTTTGTTGTTTTGCTGAAGAAAGCCTGTTATGTTGCCATTTTGCTGAAGCAAGCTATTTGTTTTGTTGCCTGTGGTAGAGAATAAAAGCTGTTTATTTTATCGGACTGCTTCGCAGACGCATGTGTACCCCTGGGGTCCTATATATATATAATTAGTTTTCCTGCTTATTTGATAAATATGTTTGCAGATAATGATTTTTATGCACTTTATAGAGGTTTAAGTCACTCATTTAGCTCTATCATTATTTTTACTCTCAATGTTGCCCAATTTTTAGCACCGTGCAACTTTTTTCTATTTTTATTATCTTTTAAGTTTCTTGTATACAGTATATCTTACTGCAGCACTGTGCACTTTATATGAGGAGGTTGTGGGGATCACTAGTTGTATTATTTATAGCGCTGTGCATTTTTTATATGTATCTGATATGTTGGTGATGAGTAGTAGCAGTCTTGGCTATGAATGGCTCGGATTTGCAGTGGTGGCACCTAGAAGTACGTGTCTGTATGAATTGTGGCCCTAAATAGGGTAGAATTCCTTTGTGTCCTTGATATAGCGATCAGATGAATGTCGGGATGAAGGCTCTGATTGACCATCATAGTTATGGGTTGTCAATGACAGAAGTCCATCCAATTCTGATCTTCTCTGATTGTACAACCAGGTAGCCACTCATTGTCTACATAACAGAACAAACTCCTCCTTATTGGTTCCGTTCATCACACTGCTAATGAGTTTATTATTGTTTGTGCTCCTTCCAGGTGATGTAATCTCAGGTCATCTCCTGATGTCATGGCGACCTCTTCCTCCTCATCCTCCTTCTCACAAGGTGCGATTGCTAATACTGACAATCCTTTCCAATGTTCTCCTCCATCTCAAATCTCTGGCGATTGGAATTAGATGATAGGACGACTTACGTATCCATATCCTGTACATTTCCTGTAGACATCTGGTCAGTCCACCCATTAGAAGTGTTCAGGAGCTTTCATCAATTCACAATCACATTGTGTCTTCATATTTTATTTATCATTGATGGAAATGATCTTCTGAGGTCCAGGGATCCATAAGTGACTGGATGAGCCCAAACGTGATGGTTATTTGTGTCATGGTTGGGGTCATCCTTTGCCTATAATCCTAAGGAGAAATCAGCCCCATGTCACATGACACATCCTGCTTGGAGATTTGGGTGTAATTGTAGTTGTGTACACATCATTATTTTGTTGGGGGTCAATGTATTTTTAACAATGTTAAGTGTTTTCATACTTTTTGATATTTTAAAACGTCCACCCCTATATAAATACTAGGTGTTTGCACCCAATTGTATCCATCTGAGAGGTAAATTACCATCATGGAGGCAGTCATGTGAGATCATTACAGGGAAGCCACTCTCTCCATAGACCAATGTACATATAGACATATTGGGGGATATCTTCCTTTCCCTTCTATATGCTCTTTATAGCTCCACCATCTAATAGTACAGACTTGTCAGAAATTGTCCAATCAGGATTATGTTCATGGCTGTGGATTGTCCTCTCTGCAGGGTCGGCTTCTGGTATCCGGCGAAAGGGCCCACAAACCCCCGGAGATCTTCTCATATATTCTCTGGAGGATCTGTATGGACGTGACTTCAAGAGATTTAAGAACAAATTGTCTGATTTCTCCTATGGAGATAAATGTCCCATTCCCCGAGGAAGACTAGAAAATGCAGACTGGATCACCACCAAGGACCTCCTGATAGACATATATGGAGAAAGAGCTCTGGATGCCACAATTGAAGTCTTTACACTGATCGGTCTGATGGGACCTGCCAAAGACCTCCAGGATAGGAGAGCACAAAATGGTGAGTTCTCATCTATAATGACCATTTCCTAACAATTCCTGAGAAATATGCGTGTGAGGAAGAACTAGCCATGTCATACAGGGACAGCCAATTATATTAAAGAAGAGCCAGATCATCTAAGGTAGTGGTTCTCAACCTGTGTAACTTCAGGACCCATATTTGTCCTTGGTCATTAAGTCGTAACCCAAGTCGCACTGCAATAAAATGCAAGGCATTAGCGTACTGCGCGTTCCGGCGAAGGTGTACGAACTTTGGGTGGGAGGTGCATTTAGGATACCATTCAAAGGAATGGCAACGCAACATACCTCCCACACCAGAATACACGGTAGGTGCGATTGTATGGTACAGTGGTTAATTGCACAGTACTATGCGATTAATGCACTGTACTAGTGTAAACGGGCCCTTAAAAACACTGACATGCATACACAACCACAGACACAATCTCACATACTCACAGACATTCTCACACACACATACACTCCCAAAAATTTTTATTTAATTGTATTTATTTTAAGGTCCCCCCAGTTTCTCTACCTTACAAGAACTGGAGTAGATCCGCAGCCTGGGGTACACTGTGGGCTGCTGTGCTGTGATGGAGCTCCATCAATATGTGCATTGCTTGTACAGCTCCCATGCGTGCCCTGTAGAGGTTCCCGGGAGCCAGAATGTGATGTCACCATGGCACCTCTATAAGACACGTGAGGGAGCTGTAAGCAATGCATGCAAGGATGGTGCTCCCTCGTGGCCATACCCCCAGCCCAACCCACCAGAAACAGACATTCGGCACCGGGCAGCATATTTTGAATGTCTGCTTGGCGCGAGAATGGACAGTGCTGCTCTAGGGGGAGGCAGATTCCAATACAGGAGCTCTAGCACAGCACTGTGCTGGAACTCCTGTGACGGCTGAGAGGGGAAGACAGCTCTCCCCTCTCACTGTTTACACGGTTAGTTTTAACCCTGCTGCTCTGCTCACTGCTCTCCATCCTGAAGATGTCGGCGGCCAGCGAGGAGAGGACGGAGCCAGCATGGAGAGAGGTGGGGTTGGGGGTGGGGGAAGGACGGACAGCCTGCAGTCTAATTACAAATCATCTTGGCGACAGCGCCAAGATCACTTGTAAAGAAACAAGTGGCTTCCCCGTTCTACATTTAGCCCTGTTTGTGCAAAGCAGGGCTAAATGTAGAAAACAAATTACCGCCCGGCGCCTGGAACTCCACATTCCGGGCATTGGGAGACTTCAAACCTGTGCTGCCCCTCTGCTCTCTGCCGCCCCGAGGCCGGGCCTCGGTGGCCTTGTCGGGAATCCGGCCCTGGTGTTGAGGGTATAGTGCATGAGGGGGGCACACACTCATCTCCCCCTCTTTCCTGTTCTGCCAGGCTGCTGCTCAGATTAAGGTCTGGTATGAGAATTTAGGTGGAACCCCACACTTTTTTTTAGCATTGGGGTACCCCCTAAAGCATTAGCATTGGGTACCCCCTAAAATTCCTACCACACTGGTAGAAATCTGTTATGAATGGCCGGAGGGAACTGCATGCTGTTTTTTTTTATTGTTTCTGTGGACTTTCAAAAGTTAAAAAAGTAAGCATTTATTGTCAATTTTCTGCAACATACCGTATTTTGCGGTCTATAAGACGCACCTGACCATAGGACGCAGGGAGGCCCGGCGCGCCTTATGGAGCACTCGACAGAACCGTAGCTTCTGTCACAGCTTCTATGACAGAAGCTGCAGTTAGTGACCGCTGAGACAGGTAGCGCTGTGATTACAGCGCCACGGTCTCAGTGATCACACAGAGCAGACGAAGAACCTCCGTTCTTCGTCTGCTCTATGGTGATCTCGATCGTCGCCGCTGCTCGGTTTTAATACGAGTGATCTCATTAGATCACTCGTATTAAACGAGCAGTGGCTCCTACTACTCGCCCGGCGCCCGAAACTGCGTGTCTCGGGCGTTGGGATTCGCTCCATAAGACGCAGGCACATTTCCCCCCTCCTTTTGGGGGAATATGGAGCGAAAAATACGGTAATTATTGTTTTTAACTCATCCAAAATTAACAAAAAATTCAGATTAGTCCGTTTCTGAATGCCAAAATGAATTGACTTTCAGACCCGAATCCCAAAAATCGATTTAATTTTTTGCCAGCATACATGTCTAGTACAGATAATGAAAATGGGGCAGCTTCTCTGTGCCTATTACCATCCTTATCAATGTCAGTGGAAGGAATGAGGGGGACCAAAGCTGCCTCCTTGTCTAGGGCCCTGATCTTATCTCCAGGTAGGAGCATCTTGCTGGATGAAATAATCTTCACCTGAGGAAGTTCATACAATAAAATAAAGCCGCGTAATAAAACTTTTGGATAGAGGAAAAGGTCGCAGATAGGAATAAGTGAACCAAGCAGGAAGTCCGAGAATCCAGAACATGCCGAACACCATTAAAGTCTATGGAAATTTAATCTGGTAATTTCATCTGACCCTTGTCAAGGTTTTATATGTCATTAATGTATGGGGGGCTGGACACAACCATGGGGGGCATGGACCAATGCAAAATGTTTTTTTTTAAACATACAGTTCAATGGGGAGAGGGTCTTCAACGGATAAATATACAAATCCCTTAAATCTGCATATAAAGTTAGAGAGCAGTACACTGTAGTTCTATAAACTTACATATTCTGTTTACAGTGACTGGGGATCTGTCACTTAGAGGCGGCACAACCACCGACCATCTTCTGATTGTAAGCAAACTAGCCGGGGATCCTGGGAGATGTCATTGACCAAATGTGGTGATGATGGTGATCCCCAGGTAGTTTGTCTACATACAGCAGATGGCGGGGGTTCTGTCATTTTGTGACAGGAGTTTTGGCGGGGCAACAACGCAGGGCAGTGGGTCATCATTGAGGTAGGTTGTCGTGATTGATGATTTTCTACATGTAAGGGTTTTCAAGGGGAATCTGTGCGCCCCATTAAATAAGGAAACCCCCAGATATCTGCCCCACTAGGGGTTAGATGTAAATCCAATGTCAATCACATTTTTCCATCAGATGATGTAGATCCTTGCCAGTAATGACTTCCCACCAGCCCATGATGTTGACCCGCCACCCTATGATGTTACCCTGTCCCACTCCCACCACAGAATGACAGCTTCCTCAGCCAGCTGCTGTATGTTAACAAACAAGATCTGGTCAATGATGTCACCGCGGGTGGGGGTTCTGGTGGGTGAACTGGACAAATATATTTTTTTATGGCCATTCACCCGACTGAACTGGCTGGGTGTAACGTACAATGAGGGAAGTCTCACGTAATGGATCTCAGCTTAGGATGTAAGTTTAAATACCGTAGCAGTAGGGGTTGACCAGGAGCACTGGTTTATACAATTTAGGTATAATTGGCATTTCACAGGGTTAGAGTTACGTCACTTCTGTTGAATCATAAATGAGCAATTAGAAGTAGAATATATACATATACTTGCCGTTCAGGTGAAACACAATGGAAGTATCTGTCTCTGGGATTGTGGAGATGAAGGGTTAACAGCCAGGCACGGTGGTAGTTGCAGTAGCTTGGATTGTGGAGCTGAAGGGATAACAGCCAGGCACGGTGGTAGTTGCAGTATAGGGAAATAGGAGGATCTCACTGGGGTGGTTCGTTCCTGCAGGTCAGAGAGCAGCTGATAGCAGCTGAACGCCGTGCAATTGAAATCCGCGGCTTAAAGGAGAACTATGGGGTCAGTGTTTTTCCCCATAGTTCTCCTTAGGGTAACGGGAGGACACAAACTAGCATCCTCCCGTTACCCTAAGCTCAGTATACCACGAGCTACAGCTCGCGGTATACTGAGACGCCGCAGCCGGAGCGGATCCCGACGTAGATGATGGGATCCGCCCAGCTGCGTGAGTGACAGCTGGCTCTGCCTATCTAGAGGCAGAGCCAGCTGTACCCGCCCCCTCCCCCGTCCGTTCCGCCAGTCAGCGCTGGCAGATCGGAGCGGGGAGAGGGGAATCCAGCCCTCCCCCTGTCATGGCAGAGAGCCGTGACAGGATCGAGAGGTGAGCGAACCCGGTATGTGTTCGCTCACCTCCCGATCTACTGAGCCGACCTGTGACAGTCTCATTGTCACAGGTCGGCTAGAACTATGAGGTGAGTGAAAAGCACTCACCTAATAGTTCTCCTTTAAGCGGAGTACGGACTAGGAGGGCGGCGCTGCGTGACGTCACCGGCGGGGAGGCAGAGTTCCACGCCGATCGACGGACGTCCCAGAGGTGAGTTCCTTACACTGGGTTTGGTTTAAATTCATGTTCAACCTGAACTCAAAGCTCAGCCCTAGATACAGACTTTAGAAACAATCTAACAGGTAAACAGAAAGCAATTCTCCAGGATGTTTGTGGTCAGTCACCATTGTACAATGATTTCACAGCATCACGCAACATGCCGGGCAGTGTAATGAAATCTCACAGAGCCTCCACATCTGTATTCCTGGGAGACCATCATGATTGATTCTACGGGTTCTAAACTTTGTGTCTCATGTATTCATCTAAATCTCCATCATCTAAGTGCCTCCTGGTAAAAGCCTGCAAAGTGAATTGGGAACTTCTGGTCCCCCCAACATGGTCACATGTCACTGTGTGCTGGGTCTTACCATACAACCAAAGACACAACCCATCACCTGCAGGGAGAAATAGGAGGAGGAGAGGCTTCAATCTCCAGAGGGTTGGTGGGATTATGGTACCTGGGACAATCTGACATGCTAATAACATTCTTAGAAGCTGATTTAGAACATCCAGAGGTTTGTCGGGACTAAATATGATCAGATCCTGAGAGGAAGATATTTTCCTGCACACAGCTTACTTCTACAATCATTTCTTATTTTTTTCCAGCCAAACTGAAGAAGACGACACATGACATGAGATTATCAGGTTAGTAGGACATCCACATGACAGATCAGATCTCTTCTGGATAAACATTGTGTTGTGTTGTAGTCTGGATGATGGGAGAATATGTGGACAATTCTCCTGTATTTCATGAGATATTTTCTTTTATGATACAATTCTGAGTTCTTATGGTTAGAATGTTTCACATCATATTTCATGTTTGTATGAGGAATAATATATTTTTCTTTCTGTTATAAAGACTTCAGAAAGGAATACAGAGAGTCTGTGGAAAAGATGTTCCAGCGGATTAATGAATATAATTCCCGTATGGGAGAGGCTGTTAGTCTACAGAAAAGATACATCAAGTTATTAATGAGGAAGGGACACAAGAAGAAAGAGGAGAAAGAACAAGAAATAAGGAGAATAGACAGAAGACATCTACAGATCATGGAGGGAAGATCTTGTGATGAATACTCCCCAACCACAATCCAGGACCTCTTTGCCCCCAATGAAGATGGTTTCATCCCTGACATTGTGGTGTTACAAGGACCTGCTGGGATTGGAAAAACAATGACCACCAAGAAGATCATGCTGGACTGGGCCTCTGGGAATCTCTACCAAGACAACTTTAACTTTGTGTTTTATCTGAGCTGTAGAGAACTCAACACCATCACTGAAAACATAAACCTTGTGGGACTTTTATCCAGAAGCTGCAGACTGCAGTGTTCAGGTGACCTGATGTCTATTCTGAAGGATCCTAGAAGTCATAGAAAACTTCTCTTTCTAGTTGATGGGTTTGATGAACTGAAGTGGACTCTGGAGGAGGAATCTGAGGTTTGTCATAATGTTTTTGAGGAAACCCACAAAGAAATACTTCTCCAAAGCCTGCTCAGGAAACAGATTGTCCAACAATCTTCTCTGATCATCACCACGAGGTCCCTGGCCATGAAGAAACTGAACAAATTGATAGGTGATCCTCGCTATGTGGAAATCCAGGGATTTACAAGGGAAGATCGGGAGGAATATGTCCATAAATTCTTTGGAAATAAAGAAGATGCAGACAAGGCTCTCCGTACAATAAGAGACAATTATATTCTGTACACCATGTGTGCTGTCCCCATCACATGCTGGATTGTCTGCACTTTAATAAAACAAGAAATAAAGAAAGATCTGGGTTTAATTCGATGTAAAACAATGACCTCCATTTACCTCCTCCACCTTAAGGTTTTACTAACCCATCACAGCAAGAAGGACCAGCCTGTGGATGGGAGACCTCCGGCCATCAACACCTGTCTGAAGAAGCTGTGTTCTCTGGCCAATGAGGGAGTTCTGAACCAGCAAATCTTGTTTGAGGAAGAAGATCTACAAAGACATGGACTTTCTCTATCTGAGGTGGAGTCTGTGTTTCTGAATGAGAACATCTTCCATTGGGACATCCACACCCAGACCTGCTACAGCTTCATCCACCTCAGTGTACAGGAGTTCTTGGCTGCTCTGTATTATGGGCTGGATGGTGGTTCTGGAACTGAAGAAAGACGGAAGGAGCCTTCCTGTCTGAAGGGAAGTGAAGGACCCTTCCCGATCTGTGAAGGGAAATCACTAACAGAATTCTTCATAGAACATCCACATTCAGGTTTAGCTGTGAAATTCCTGTTCGGTCTCCTTAATGAAAAGATGGTGAAGACATTCTCAGAAATCACAGACATCAACATCTCACTGCCAGCCAGATCTGTAATAGAAGAATGGGCCATGGAGGACATCGATAAGGGAATTGGAATTGATGGCATTGTCTGTCTGTATGAGACTCAGGATGAGAACTTCATAAGGAGAATCATATCTCAGAGTTCACATTTGAAGGTGGGACACTCACTGTCAAACTGCTTGGGGAGAGCCAGTAATCATGCCAAGCAGCTGGACTATTGCTTGAAGACTTTGAAGAGGGAAACTTATCTGTTTTTACATTTTGAAGAGCTCACACTGGATCCCGCGTGCCAGAAATCGTTATCTCTGTTTGTACACAGGAGTCGGAGAGTTCGGTAAGTGAGTGTGATTATTTCTAACTGAATTGAGAACAATCAGCAGAGTCTGATCACCTTCTAGGCAGGCTGTAATGGGCAGGAACCTGCATACAGTATAATGGGGGCTATTATCAGACATCCTCCATGTACCTCACCTATCTGTAAATAAGTAGAAAGGTGCAGCACATCAATCTAGAATATTTCTACAATGAATGAAACCCTCGTAACTTATCATATAAACATTGACTTGTTCTATGATTCATATATCCCATGGAAGTCTAATACCAATGAAGACAAGTGACAAGTGCGCATCAGTCCTTGTATTCAGTCCACAAAGAAGTGCCGTGCTTGTCTGATCCTGTGGTGGGTTCCTCCAGGTAAGTGATAGAAGATCCAAGTGCTCAATATTCGGCTTCTCTCCCATTGTCTTGTCTGTCAGATAATGTGAGAGGAGAGAAACCTCCAGAGACTGAGAGAGAATAAAGCAGACATATAATAAAGACACGGGGCTGATTTATACATCTACCTATGCTCCTCGGCTCCATCTAGTGGTGGTAATGCCGTGCACACAACATTGGTCCAGCTATACGCTGGGTGGAAGATTTATGAATCAGCCCCATAGAGTAGAACACAGGGAACACATCATACCCCAATAGCATTGTAATATGGCAGCCAGGACTCAAGTGGTGAGCAGTAAACTTTCCTATAGATTGGATGTCTGTTGTGTCTTCTACTTCCACCATTTAATTCCAGCTTATTCTGTCGTAGTTGTTCTCTTCTACTGTAACATATACCTCCAATGGAGATACCAAATGGCCATTTGAACACTTGTTACACAGACATGGTCCACTGTTGTCACCATCAAGAAACCCGCCCTGGGAAATGTCATGCAGCAATTGGTTGAGTACATGTGGACAGGAAGTGGCTGCAAAGGAACTAAAGGAGATCAGCAGAAGTGTCATCTAGCAAAGGATGAGAAAAGGTGAAAACAGGATGTTATGGAAAAAAAAAAAACATGACAATTGTTATACACAGAGCACGGAGCAAACTCCTATCATCCAGTTTGGGTTCATCTCCTATAAATGATGATTGTTCCATTTTCCTTCTTCATGTCAGAGGTCATACATTCTCCGTGTCATTGTTATCTCATCATTTTCTTCTAGGTTTTCACATTGTACATTTCAGAGATGGTATGGTGAAGATGGAGAGTCCTCCTCCTCAGGACATGATGAAGAGTCCTCCTCCTCAGGAGATGATGAAGAGTCCTCCTCCTCAGGAGATGAGATGGTTCCTGATAATCTTTCCTTTCTGATGAACCTGGAGAGTAAAATTCAGGAATTACGGTAAGAGAAATCTGTGATCCCGGCAGGGATGGGAAATGTGATGCCTTGTGATTGTTCTCTCAGTGTTTCCTTGTAGCTCCGGGTGTCTTCCATCCTCTCCGATGTAGAATCTTCCATCACCTCTCCTCTTCTCATGTCTTCTCCTCTCTCTAATGGAACCTCCCCCTTTATTATCTCCTCCATGGGCCTACTATTACTCTCTATTGGACTGTCACTGGACTGGACTGTCTGCACCTACTATTTCTGTCTATTAATGTACCACGTTTCTTCAGAATAAGATCTCACTGGACTGTCTGCACCTACTATTCCTGTATACTATATACCACGTGTCTTCAGAATAAGATCTCACTGGACTGTCTGCACCTACTATTCCTGTATACTATATACCACGTGTCTTCAGAATAAGATCTCACTGGACTGTCTGCACCTACTATTCCTGTATACTATATACCACGTGTCTTCAGAATAAGATCTCACTGGACTGTCTGCACCTACTATTCCTGTATACTATATACCACGTGTCTTCAGAATAAGATCTCACTGGACTGTCTGCACCTACTATTCCTGTATACTATATACCACGTGTCTTCAGAATAAGATCTCACTGGACTGTCTGCACCTACTATTCCTGTATACTATATACCACGTGTCTTCAGAATAAGATCTCACTGGACTGTCTGCACCTACTATTCCTGTATACTATATACCACGTGTCTTCAGAATAAGATCTCACTGGACTGTCTGCACCTACTATTCCTGTATACTATATACCACGTGTCTTCAGAATAAGATCTCACTGGACTGTCTGCACCTACTATTCCTGTATACTATATACCACGTGTCTTCAGAATAAGATCTCACTGGACTGTCTGCACCTACTATTCCTGTATACTATATACCACGTGTCTTCAGAATAAGATCTCACTGGACTGTCTGCACCTACTATTCCTGTATACTATATACCACGTGTCTTCAGAATAAGATCTCACTGGACTGTCTGCACCTACTATTCCTGTATACTATATACCACGTGTCTTCAGAATAAGATCTCACTGGACTGTCTGCACCTACTATTCCTGTATACTATATACCACGTGTCTTCAGAATAAGATCTCACTGGACTGTCTGCACCTACTATTCCTGTATACTATATACCACGTGTCTTCAGAATAAGATCTCACTGGACTGTCTGCACCTACTATTCCTGTATACTATATACCACGTGTCTTCAGAATAAGATCTCACTGGACTGTCTGCACCTACTATTCCTGTATACTATATACCACGTGTCTTCAGAATAAGATCTCACTGGACTGTCTGCACCTACTATTCCTGTATACTATATACCACGTGTCTTCAGAATAAGATCTCACTGGACTGTCTGCACCTACTATTCCTGTATACTATATACCACGTGTCTTCAGAATAAGATCTCACTGGACTGTCTGCACCTACTATTCCTGTATACTATATACCACGTGTCTTCAGAATAAGATCTCACTGGACTGTCTGCACCTACTATTCCTGTATACTATATACCACGTGTCTTCAGAATAAGATCTCACTGGACTGTCTGCACCTACTATTCCTGTATACTATATACCACGTGTCTTCAGAATAAGATCTCACTGGACTGTCTGCACCTACTATTCCTGTATACTATATACCACGTGTCTTCAGAATAAGATCTCACTGGACTGTCTGCACCTACTATTCCTGTATACTATATACCACGTGTCTTCAGAATAAGATCTCACTGGACTGTCTGCACCTACTATTCCTGTATACTATATACCACGTGTCTTCAGAATAAGATCTCACTGGACTGTCTGCACCTACTATTCCTGTATACTATATACCACGTGTCTTCAGAATAAGATCTCACTGGACTGTCTGAACCTACTATTACTGTCTTTTAATGTAGCACATCTTTAGAATAAGATCTCACCGGACTGTCTGCTCCTACTATTACTGGAGATGGTCACTTGCATATTTCCCAGAGAACACTGCCATAAAGTCTTCCTATTGGCTGTATGTACCCATGATAACTAGAACTACCATCCCTGGCTAATGAGACCCATTAGGCTGAAGCAGTGCTGTCCAAGACTCGGTGTTCTGGTTCAGCAAAGGTCATGTGATTTCTTTATATGTCCAGTAGATACCGTGTTTCCCCGAAAATAAGACACTGTCTTATATTTTTTTGGCTCAAAAAAGCACACCAGGTCTTATTTTCAGGGTAGGTCTTATTTTTTTATGTACATCAATCCACACTTATTCATGTACAACAGTCTACATATATTCATGTACAAACATATGGTGATCAGGGGGCAATCAGGGGTGCCGTACCTTTCCAGGAGCAATTTGCTAACCAATCTCTGGCCAGAACGAGCGAAGCGCACTTTCACTATCGATTCCTCACAGGCGGAGTGCATTTGGTATCACTCCGCCTGTGACAGGAGCCGGCGCTATAGAGGAGGCATCAGCTTATGCGGCTCTGCTCCCTCTGGTGCCGCCTCGCTTCCTCTAGCGCTGGCTTCGTTGGCACCGCTGATTCTCTCCTGCCTCTCCCACTCTTTAAGTTCCCCTAATGCCACCACCGGTCCTGGGAATGGTCACAACTAGGTCTTATTTTCGGGGTAGGTCTTATATTTTAGCAATTCCCCAAAATAGTGCTAGGTCTTATTTTCGGGGAAACAGGGTACTTATACAAATCATTGTTATGACTTTTCAGTAAATGGCAATAAGTCCTTGTATTCATCCTGAAGTATCATTCTTTGTGTCTATATTTGTCTCTGCAGTTTGGAGAGATGTGGTTTAACTTTCTCGTCCTGTGAGGTTCTCCGATCAATACTTATCACTAATCGATCTCTCATCAGACTGCATTTATCACATAATAATCTGCAGGACTCTGGAATAAAACTTCTGTGTGAGGGTCTCCAACACCCAGACTGTACCTTGCAGGAACTGAGGTGAGAATTATACTATAAATGATGTAATAATCTGCAGGACTCTGGAATAAAACTTCTGTGTGAGGGTATTTGACATCCAGACTGTACTCTACAGGAACACAGGACACAGATGATAAAGAAGTGTAATATTGTTCAATGAAAGAAGAGTTTTATTGGGGAAGATAAGACCGCAATGTACTGGAGACACAGGACACAGGAATTAGAGGAACGCAGATGACACAGCAGTGTAAATTGTTCAGCAGCAGGACAGTTATAATCAGGGAGAATAGGACTAACCGGAGTATGCCTACATTGTATCTGTACTACAGGGAATGTGGTTGATATTATTTGAGGTGGTTTAGGTGAACACTTTTCTTGTACTTTTCCTGTCAAATAACACGGCGACATTCTAGGAATAAAAGGCAGCTCTAAGATCAGATGGTCCGCAACAAGTGAAGTAAAAACTCCAGAGATGGTTGATCCCGGGAATATCCGATTGTCTTATGGGATCAGGAAGGAATTTTTCCTGTGGATGTTACAGAAGTGACACGTCATAGTGATGGTGGAAACCCTGGTCGGCTAATTGTTCTGTTTATGAATCTTCCACGGAGGATATTGTTTCACAGTTTCCACATTTGGATTATTGTGAACTGTTTTAAGGTGGACATTATTACATATAGACGTATTTTCTGAGTGTATTCATTCACATTGATTGTATGGTCTATGAAAGTCATTGGAATGGTGCACAATGGTTTGATCTCCAAATGTATACATTTCATGGATTAATAGTACACAGATTTGGGGGATTTTTGTGGCATTTAGCGTGGCATTTAGCGTGGCACTATTATTATTATTAATATTATTATTATATATGTAACTCTGAATGCTGCACTCTGAGCACTCCAAACTTTATAAAGCCCCATCAGTATAAAATAACACCAAAAGACCACTGCCCTTAAAAGAACCACAAATTATCCCCTTCACGACCCATGACGGGATAATCCCGTCATGAAGTTTGAAGGGGTTAAACAGACTCCTGGCTGCATTGCATTATGGGTATAATATACACAACTGATGATGACTGGAACCACCAACCATCCACTGTGACTATGAAGATAAAAATAAAATGGCCTCTCCCAATCAGATGTGAGGTGAAGGTGTTGAGGATTGGTTGACAAGTCATATCAGCCTTAAGGGTCTCCTCACACTTGTCTGTTTTCATGCAGCAATACTCATGGATCTCTCTGCATGGAAACACAGGACAAGTAGAAGTCCCATTATTTCCTATGTGGCTGGCTCACATCTATGAGCTCAGTGTAGTGTGAAAGGGAATCTACACTCACTGACCACTTTATTAGGTACATCTCTTCAATTGCTTGGGAACACAAATCGCTAATCAGCCAATCACATGGCAGCAACTCAATGCATTTAGACATCTAGACGTGGTGAAGACAACTTGCTGAAGTTCAAACCGAGCATCAGAATGGGGAAGAAAGAGGATTTAAGTGATTTTGAACGCAGCATGGTTGTTGGTGCCGGACGGGTTGGTCTGAGTATTTCAAAAACTGCTACATCTACTTGACCCCTTACAGTCTAGCTTTGGCCCCCAGCACTCTACTAAAACTTACTAATGACTTACTACTGCTAAAACCAATGGCCACTACTCCTTACTCTGACGATTAGACCTTTCTGCTGCTTTTGCCACAGTTGACCACCCACTGCTCCTCAAAAAACTCCCCTTGGCCTACAACACTCTGCTCTCTCATGGTTCTCCTCCTACCTAGCTAAGCGCTCCTTTAGTGTCGCCTACAAATATACCTCTTCCTCTCTGCTTCCACTTTCTGTTGGGGTCCCCCAAGGCTCTGTCCTTGGACCCCTTCTCTGCTCTATCTACACTTCCTCCCTTTGTCAGTTGATCATCTCACATGGCTTCCAATACCATCTCTATGCTGATGACACTCAGATATATCTCTCCACTCCACAACTCCCCCCCTCAGTGTCCTTGTGTGTCACTAATTTACTGACATATCAGTCTGGATGTCAGAGCACTTCTTAAAGCTCAATCTTTCAAAAACTGAGCTCATGATATTCCCTCACCCCGTGCACCCTCCCCCAACTTTTTCATAATTTTGGATTACACAACTATCCATCCCTCCCCCCCATGCCAAGGTATTAGGTGTCATCCTTGACTAGGACCACACCTTTCTGCCCCACATCCAATCACTATCCAAATTCTGCCTCCTTCACCTTCGCAACATCTCCAAAATACGCCACGTCCTCACCAAAGAAACCACAAAGCTGCTCATCCACTCACTTGTTATCTTCTGTGTTGACTGTGTAATTCCCTCCTCATTGGACGGCCTCTACACAGGCGAACCCCCCCTTCGGTCTATCATGAATGCTGCTGCCAGACTCATCCACCTAACCAACCGCTCAGTGTCTGCAACCACCCTCTGCCAATCCCTCCACTGGCTTCCATCCCCCACCCCCCCTCTGCCATTCCTTCCACTGGCTTCCAATCGCCCAAAGGATACAATTCATAATAATAACAACCCCTTAGAAAGACATCCACAACTCTGCCCAAGGTTACATCTCCAATCTTGTCTCAAAGTATCACACTAACCATACTCTCCACTCCTCCCAAGACCTCCTGCTCTCTAGCTCCCTTGTCAACTCCTCCCATGCTCGCCTTCAGAACTTCTCTAGAATCTTTCCCATTCTTTGGAACTCCTTACCCCAACCTGTCCATCTATCTCCCACTCTGACTGCCTTTAGGCAATCAAAAAATACATCTCTTCAGGGAAGTCTATCCCCCCTCTACCTAACCACTCAACCATCACGTTCTCAAACAATTCATCCCCACACAGCTACCGCCTCATGTATCACTTTCCGTTTCCTCTTAGATTGTAAGCCCTCACGAGCAGATCCCTACTTACCGTTGTGTCTTGAATTGTATTGTAATTATGTCTTCCTTATATTGTAAAGCGCTGTGCAAACTGTTAGTGCTATATAAATCCTGTATAATAATAATAATACTAGCAAGGTGTACCTAATAAAGTGGCTGGTGAGTGCATTTGGGGCCATTCACACATACTATGTGGACATCACCACGCACACTTCAATGTGCACGAAACAGTGTAAATCCAACCAAAGACTTTTCATGTGGCTGACAACTCATCTACATTTCACAGAGGAGGGACAACCAATATTCCATCATCCATCCAAATGTCTCAACATTACATTACCTAAGATCCCGTACACGGATTATGTCACTGGAGGAACTTCTCACCTCTCTTTCCTGTTTTCCCCATCCAGAGTTTATGAATGTGGAGTGACATTCTCGTGCTGTGATGATCTTTGCTGCGTTATTACCGCAAACCGAACTCTGACCTCACTGTATATAACAATGGATGGTGATAAGAAGATGCCAGACTCAGAAGTGACTCGTTGTTGTGAGCTCCTCCAACATGCCGGCTTCACTGTGCGTAGAAGGTAAGATCTATTATATTGGAGGTAACACACATACTAAACCTCAGAATCTGAATACTAAAACATACACAACATGGGATGGGGAGGAGCTGGTGGAGGTGGGACCTTGTTGGGAGGTCTTTTGACACCCGGGTTGGACAGTGATGAAGAATGGAAGGACGGGGTGATAAATAGCACCTCGCGCCAAACCCTGTGTAGCTACAAACACTATAAGAAGTGTTAACCTCTGAATATATCAAATTATAATGAATGTGCTGCGCTTCATCTAGAACAATACATAAACAAATCTCTATAATAAATATGTGCTTAAATAATACATGCAATCAAAAAAGTGTTCACAATTAATCTTCTTATAAATAATAGTCCTATGGAAAGTCACGGGGTGACCAACCTTCTATACAAGTTCTGCTGGAACCCATTAGATGTCTCTGGAGTTATACAGATAATGAGAGAACCGATTAAGATTTCCTGGGCCAGTCACAGATTTCCCAGATGATGGAGAATTTATTCCTGATCCCAAGTTTTATCATTCCAGATGGTGGATGAGGAGAGGTGGCTCCACCACTAATACTCTTAGTCAGGTCCCACAATCCTCCACAAGGTTTTACCTTTAAGGAGATATGACTTTACTTTCATTACCACTATCCCCCCTCCCCCGCTGTCTATCCAATCTGTCAGTATAACTAAACAAATCAGATGAGGGTTCTCATCCTGTACACATCCCAGCCCAGCACACCATGCATACAGTCTGGTATCCCAATGGTTGGATGGCCATGAGTGTGTGGGCCCCTGCCATGGTTATGGGTCCTCAGTATTAGGTGGGTGATTCACAAGGTGGTGGGGGCCCTATAAATGAGGGACACTCCTCACACCCCTATATTGTGAGGACTGAGGGGATGGTTTGGTGTATTTGTATACTGGGGTCAGTTATGAAGAGATCACACATCCCGCCATGGACATACAATCTACGTCAGATCTACTCCCAGCATAGAAGACCACTGAACTACATTGTACGGCTGCAGATTTGTACATTACACATCACACACATTTCCAGGAAAACATCAAAATAGTTATTGTGACGGAAGCGTCTGTTACTCTGTTATCTGGAGGGGACTGCAGGCCTCCTTCCCCAGAGACCTGCCTGGCCCTTAGGGGAAGGTTTGGGCTGTAATTATGATTTTCCGGTTCCAGAGTGGAGGAAGCTGATTTCTGACGGAGGTACCCAATCGGGGTACCAGGCAATCTGTCACAATTGGTGCCAAGTGGTGGGATCTGCTTCCTCCCTACGGAGCAGTCCAAACCACCAACGGAATCCATTTCTTAGCCGGCTGAGGAGAAGTGACTCAAGCAGCGAAGCAGCCATGACCCTGGCAGTGGAGTACTCAAAATGGCTGTGGATAGTCTGTCCAGACGGAGAAAGGGGTCTGTCTACGGAAGACTACTTGATTCTCAGGCAGACTGCACGGACAGCTCTCTGGAATATTACCGAGGCACACAAGGGCCGGTTTCATCCCTTTCCAGAACAAAGGGTCCGGGATCAGATGACCCCACAAATGGTTATCCTGGGAGAGCAGCCTCAGGAGCATTGGGTGGCTGATTTGCACAAGTTGGTTCAGCAAGAGGTAAAGCTGGATGAATGGTATCAGGCCCTGCATTGGTATGCAGAACAATCTCAGCCGGGATTTACAACGGAAAATCCAGAGGGCTACAACTTTGACGAACATGGACTGTTTTGGGACGCTATACAACAAGAATGGCTACTGGGAAAGGAATACAAGGAGCTGCTAGGATGCGTCCAGCAGAGTGTCTCAGACCCAGTGGAAACCACATTTCCAGAGAGTGTGGATTTAATGGACTTTTCTGTGGAGGTTGTACAGCTTGCTCAGTCCCCGGGTGAGGTGCTGGCAACAGGGCAGAGTGCCCCGAGCCTCTGCAGAACAACTGTTACAGCCCCGGAGTTCCAGGGAGCAGAGGTAGCCGACCTCTCTACCCAGTGGCAGATGGAGTTCCAGGGAGAAGAGGTAGCTGACCTCTCTACCCAGTGGCAGATGGAGCATCTGAAAAAAAGTGCAGCTGACACTTATCCCCAGCTGCTGAGTGCTTCCCAGAGAGAGGAATTAGGTGTCCTTTTATCCTAGCAGCTGGAAGAGCATCATGGAGAAGATACAGCTGGCATTTCTTCCCAGCAGCTGGACATGTTCCAGGGGGAAGAGTGTACCCGATACTTCTCCCCAGAAGCAGCCAGAGTTCCAGGGAGGGGAGATCAGTGTCCTCACTCTCCAGCAGCAGCGTGTTTACCCGGTAGATGATGGGGGCGCTTGGTCTTGGCTATGGAGGGGTGGTCTATTGATTGGGAGAGGGGCTTGCCATGGTGCTTTGGGCTGTTTGTTACCCTTTATTTATGTTCCATGGATCACGGGGACCCCAGAGACCTATTTTCAAGTTATGTGGGGATACATGGGGAGCTAAGACTGTGTTTTCCTATACATTAGTATCCTGCCCTGGAACAGACTGATGTCAGGTCGGAATCTATTGTTCTCCTGAAGTGAAAAGACCTTGTCCTGTGTTTGTTTACTTCATCTAATTATCTATTGGGACTTGAAATGTTTGACATTCTTGTGTAAGGGGAAGGAGTAGTATGTGACACACTTGTGTAGGCAGGCCCGGATTTCCCACAAGGCCACCGAGGCCCGGCCTCGGGGCGGCAGAGCGCAGAGGGGCGACAGCGGTGACCTTTCCTGGCCTTGGGGCGGCAGGGGGAGTAAATCCGGGCCTGTGTGGAGGAGGAAGGTTTTGTGTCTATATACTGTGCTGTGTATCAATAAAGTCAGTTCTTAAGAGACTAGTCCTGCCTGGTCATTAGGGGAAGGTTTGGCTGTAATTATGATTTTACGGTTCCAGAGTGGAGGAAGCTGATTTCTGACGGAGGTACCCAGTTGGGGTACCAGGCGGTCTGTCACATTTTTCATTAGTGTGTTTAAAATGTCCATCATTTCTTCCAGACTACAGTACCGGCCCCCCCTTTTCCATCATCCCAGGAACCCCTCCCCCCGCTAACACCCATTTTGTTCCTTTATGAAGGGTTACACAGTGGCTTGAATGTATATTCAGAAGAGGATGATAATCTGGAGGATGTGAAGCCGTCTCCTCATTTTCAGGTAATACAGGAATCCCGATATGAAGACAATGTCCAGAATGCAATGATATCACATTGACCTGTTCAAGAAACTGATGATTCTGCTTTTTCCTTTTCTTCAGATTCCGCGATGAGAGATTCTACTGAACGTCATTCCGGAATGATCTGAGCCGTGACTTTATCCTTCCTCCCATTCCTCCATTTTATATTGTATTGTTACTTCTTCATGTATTCATTACTGCAAAATACAAATGTGATTGTTGGATCTTTTTTTTAATTTATATCTTTTTATTATTTTGAAAGAATTCAAACTGTAACATTGAATACAATTATAGTACTTTACATGTATTTAAAGTAAATGCATACATTATTTTAATCCATTCTTTTATATTTGATTACTCTTATCTTCACAACAACCTAATTTGCTTCCGTACTATATTCTAAGTATAAATAATCCCCCCCTGTTAGAAGGGGGGGAAGAAAGGGGGAGGGAAAAGGGGCGGGGAGGGGGGTATCCTAATAAGAAGAAAGAAAGAAAAGGGAAGAGGAGAGGGGGGAGGGGTTACATGGTTAAAAAGGGTCAGTGAATGGGAGGTATGTCTACATAATTAACCATATACATTTACATATAACTTATAAATATTTAAATAAAAAGAGGAAAACACATTATATCTCCTGCAAGCCAGTAAAATAATCAATGGTTATAGATCAGTGAGGGAAAACCTTTTTGAACCCGAGCGCCCCAAACTGCAACACAAAATCAATTTATGTACACTGATCCTCCACTGGACCACCACGTGAATGTTTTTCATTTAATATATTGCCAATTCGGCAATAAATTAAATGGAATCTGGGCACCTGCCAGGGTTAAAGATGCCACTGGCGGCAGCCATCTTTAAAAACTTAATGTGACTTGGAGACCCTTTGAGCACCAGAGGCCCGTGTGAAGCAGCACAGGTGAGAACCCATAGTGTGTTGCCCCGGCAACTGGCACCTAGGCTGGCATGCCACCAGTAGTGATGGGCTGACGTCCCACAAGGCAATGCACCCTCTGAAGCTCAAATTGGTCTGGTGTAAGACTTTGCCCAATCATGGCTCAGTTAGATCCATGATTGGGCAAAGACATGATGTGGGTGCCCCCTTGCAAATAAGCCCCCTTGCCCGCAGACTCCCACAACCACCGGGTCAGGGTTGTGGGGAAGAGGCCCACGGGGGCAAGGTGCTTTTCCATGGGTGACCCTGAAAAAGCACCCTCCCAGTGCCGAGAGCATGTGGCCTGGTGTGGGAGGGAGAGGGGGGCTCGCTCGCCCCCCCCCCCTTCCGGCCCTAACATGCCTAGGCTCGGATCAAGGGTTTGGTATGCAATTTTAGGGGGACCCCACATCCCCCCCCCTATTTTTGTGAGTGGGGTTCCTCCTTTAAATTCCTATAAGACCTTAAGGGCCTGGTATGACTTTAAGGGGGAACCCCACGCACTTTTTTTTTTTTTTTACATAGGGTGCCTTCTAAATATTCCTACCAGACCTTAAGGGTAAATTGTAGCGCATTTTTCTCTGGCATGTTGACCAATGAAAAGTAGCCAAATCCATGACAAGTTCCTGTTCCTGAATCCTAAGCAAAAAGGTAACTACTTTCTCCATCTGCAGGGGAACTACAAGTCACAGGACGCATTTCAAGTAGTGAAAACCTAAGAAAAAAAAAAAAAGCGGCACGTTCCTTCTTGTTCCTTCTTGTTGTAACCAGCAGGTGAAGGTCACATACCTCTCCAGACCTCCTAAGCAAACAGAAGATAACTATGGATGGGCCGAGTGTTCGATTCGAACATGAGTTTGAATCGAACATCGGCAGTTCGAGCGCTTGCCGAACGCCGAACTTTATGGGATGTTCGCGGCTTGTTCGACCGCGGACATTCCATAATGCAAAATGCCCACTGAAGCTCTGATTTGTTGAAGTCTTGCACCTGACCACAGGTCAGGTGCAAGACTTTGCCCAATCAGGGCTCAGCGGAGGAGGGGCATGAAGGAGAAAGTTCTCTATCAGCCTGCAATGAAGAGGAGGCAGGGGGGCGGGGCAGAGGAGCCGCGGCCAGACCGGATCCTAGATGAAGGCGACGGACCAGGAGACCGGAGGCCAGGACAGCAGCGGAGGTAAGGGGGGCAGCGAAGCCATGCAGCGGTCTGTGTCCCCGCTGTCTCCGCCAACATAGGCGTGGAGAGCAGCTGGGATTTGAAGGGACACAGGCCGCTGCAGCCACAGTTTTACTACATGTACAGGCAGCTGTACGGGGGTCGAACATTCGACCCCCATACACTTGCATTGAATTTGAGTTTGTATTCGTACATTTCGGCCGTTCAAATACCAAACGAACACGGGGGTGTTCGGCCCATCACTAAAGATAACATGAAAGCTGAAAAGCATGTAGAATCCTAAGCAAAAGCTGATCCCTACTGCAGCTGCAGTGGAACTACAAGGCCTCATTTAAGGTGCCCATACACTGTACGATTCTCGTACGAGAATCGCGGGAAATCCCGCGATCGTAGGAGAATCGTACAGTGTATGGAAGGCGTGCGACCGTTTCTACTGTACGGTCGCACGTCTTCCATCGAACAAGCAGGCAGGAAAACCCGCCGGGAATCGTACGATTCTCGGCGAGTGAGTGGCCTGCTTGTTCGACAACCGACGAACGGGCTGGTGTGCGCACGCGCACACTGCCCGTTTGCCGTGCTTGCAAGCCCGCCCCTCATTGCAGTCATCCCTTGAGGGGCGGGCTTGCGATGATCGCAAGTACGATCTGCCTGTCCAAGATGGGCAGATCATACGTTTTTTTAAGTACTTTACAACCATCGCAAGACTAAGGTCTTGCGATGGTTGTAAAGTGTATGGCCACCTTTACACTGGGCGTACACGCCTGTAAACAGCCGATCCCCGGGAGGGACAGCAGCTGCATATAACTGTGTGCAGCAGCCTGTTATTCCCTATGAGAGACAAGTGCGGACAACCGTACCCACAAGCATGCGCAGTTCGGGTGTCCATATGCCACAGTACAGCCGCGTCCTCCCATAAAGAAGTAGTAAAAT